CGGCATATTTTACTTTCATATATAGTTACGTCATAGTCACAATATTCATTGGAGATACAATCTTTATCTTGTATTGTGAATCTTTTGCTAAGCTAGCCCGCATCACGCTTTACAAGCGTCTAGTTTTATTCTAAAAGATCTTCCTAGCTTCTCCGTTTTTCTTTTACAACATTGTTTTGAAACAACTTCTTCGAATAAAGTAATTGGTTTCCATGTCATTTTGTACCATCCTCATTTCTACAATTCTTAGGTTAGGATTGGAGGAGCCAAAGTGGGTGATTCTAGGTACTTCAAAGGACGTATTTCATGTGTTCAATTCTACGATAAGGCATTGACACCAAAGCAAGTATTGGCCATCATGAGTAGATGTCAGGAAAGAAATGGTAGGTCTAAGTGATGTCTATTTTTGAAAACTAAGCCTATGAAAATAAAAAATATCATAGTTTTTAACTTGGAGATTGCGTAAGCAATCGAAGAGTTATTGGAGGGGGGCGATGTGTCACTCACTCACTTTCCTGTTAACTTTTAAAGATAGCCGCTGAAAAAAAATAGCAGGCTCTCAAAATAGCGGACCAAGAAATAACCGGGGAAATATAACGTCTAAAGCTAGTCTAAGAGACAATTTTCGGTGAAATGTACTTGACATACTTGGCTTACATCGTACTTAGTCATTTTGAAGAAAGTTAGAAAATTTAGATGGATAGCGAAACAAGTTTTGTAGCCGAATTTGTTGCCGGCGAAGACTGACTGCGATCGTAGGTTTGTTGATGATACTACAGCAATACAATGTTAAGCTGATCATGATAAGCTCTGTGGTACACTTTCAATTTCATATTCTGTTTTCAAATCACCCTACAATCTCCGAGTTGTGTTGCCATTGGCAGCTTGATTTATAATGTGTTAAATTCGCTCGTTTTAAAACAAGTCAACATAATTATTATACCGACTATAAAAATTGTTAACATTTTTTTCGCTTTTAGAGGTTTATTCTGCATGTTTGCAAAACACATTACGTGAAGACCACTCAAGGTCAGTGGAATACGATGTAGGCAGCGGTCATCCTTCTGATAGAGAAACCTTCATCAGAAGACGATGGTATCGAATACAGAACAAAAAAGCGGCACGAATAGTCACTTCTTGTCCGGCCCCAGGTTCATGCGGTGCTAAAGCCCCAGGATGGCTAAATGGCCAGTATCCATCCCTAGAAGCTGGGATTAAAGAGATGGAAATTTGTTATAACACTGGAGCAGATTGCTGTGGGAGAAATGCCACTGTTTATGTAAGACAGTGCTATGGATATCCTGTTTTTATGTTCGACAACGTACCGGAGAAAAGTCTTGGTAATCGCGTTTGCATAGAACTAGGTATGAACAGCTTTATGTATTTTCAAAAGGTTTGTCTTATTCTTTTTTCTCTTTTTGTTTTACGGAATTATTTACTGAAGAAAAAATCAACGAATCACTAAACTCGCAAAGAATGATTCCATCACATGAAATTAATGCCAATTTTCATGTGTAATACTCCAGTTTCGATTTGTTATTTGCGCAAGCTCGGATTCAGTCCAAGCATAATTTTTTTTAGTCTTCTTCGTACACAGAGTTTTTTGCTTTATAGTAGTGTCTCTGCTGAATAAAAGAATATATTACATGCTTNTCACTAATAAGATCTCCAAACTGGAGAAAAATATGTTGTATCATCTTCAAAAAAAAACTTTTGCTTTTCAAATATGGATACACTTTTATTTCAAAAAAACATTGAAGGGGAAAGGGTAAAAGGCGACTGTATGTACGAAAGGGACTATGGTTATGCAGTTTGATATACACGTGCTGGGTTCAACATCTTACATTATATACAATTTCTGCAGCGCTTTATCTCACTTCAGCAGTGACCTTCCAGCACTTCCCATTAATTATTAAAACCCGTGTCTCCTTTTGGTCGTGCAATCTCCGTTAGACAACTGCCATTTTATCTCCAATTTTAAATCCGACCACTTTTATTGAAATGTATAGGTATTCTGCGTTTTAGAGCGCAATGAAAGGTTCCTGTGCTCGCCGGCTTTCCATTCATATTCTATATTTATTTTTCATTTTAAATAAATTATTTATTCATTTTTATGTTTTCTGTAAGATGCAGAAATAATATACCCAGAGGCAATGTTTCAGTCAACCCATGGCCAATGCTTATCGAATCACGTGATGCATTCTGAAAACAACATGGCGGACGTCTTTATCTGTATTCAGCACTGCCTTCATTCTGGAGAAAAATGCAAATCTATAAATTTCATGGACAACAATGGCACTTGTCACCTCAACAACGCGAGCGAGGCTGATTACCCGAAGCATAAGATCGTGGAGGCTTATTGCACATATTTTCAAAGAATAGCTGTCGCATCTGCGGAAGTCAAAGTTTCTAATTAACTTCTTCACTATACACTGAACTGAATTGATCAATTACGAAAAAAACATAGAGTTTGATGCCCAAGATGCCCTCAATGTTTAAATAAACTAAATTAGGATTATTTCAGGGGTTATTGGCAGATTCGGCTATTACTAGTGCTGTTTTTCATAAGAAATAAGATCTATGTCTAATAATTCGACAGGAGATATGTGCGCATACGGTTCCTTTTCAGTCTGTACGTAGTTTGTTTAACAATAGAGTAATTTACTTTATTATATAGATGATTTCTAACGCGCGCTCTGATTAGCCAAAAAAGAGAGTATAAACCACGATTGTGCGCGAGGGATTTTTGAAAAAGGCAACAAAATGGATTTTTGCTTAAGTTTTTCTCAAAATCTACATAATAAAACAAATAAATAAGTCTCAGCCTGTGATTAATACTCTAATAAACACGCACGCTTGTTATTTGAAACACACGAGAAAATGTCAAAGAAGCACGAGCTGAAAGCGAGCCTTATTTATTTGTTAAGTGTACTTGTCTTTTGGACCTTCAATCTTGAATATAAAGGTATAATAAAACCTTTAAAATGCCAATTTATCTGTTATCCTTTTCTTAAATTCTGGCTTTTGAGCTTGCTGTCACAGGGAAATTTGTGTTTTTAATTGCGTGCAGTTCCCTTTTTTAATTAATTAACAAAGTTTTTTCGATGAGATTCTAGCAATGCTCTGAATTCTATTTGAATTCATTCGAGCAATCATTTAATGCTTGCTGTCAGAGAATGTTTTTTATGAAAAAAACTGTTGATCGAGTGACGCAACTTAAAGTGAGGCTGTCGCGGTATGTGCATGAATTCCAGTAACTGTCGTTCGTAATTCAAAAGAAACAATAATAAGAAACGTCTATTTGGCGCGAAAGTGGTCGAGTCACGGGCTCAAATGCCAAATTTCGATTCCAGAATAATACTTGACTTTTGACAAATCCAGCAAATTCTGCCACATCTATAAGTTGGAGCACCCTTGCTGATGGAGAGTCTTGCGATTACTCCTGTTAGATTTTATCTTGTGAACTGGACTCTTTGGTAGCCAGCCATTGCCGTTGTAAGAAGCGACTGAAAACTATTTGCTGAATTCTTTCTAGCATAAAAAATATACTTAATTTGTAAATGCAAAAAGATGAAATAGATGCCCGCCGTAGATCCACGATTGCGAAGGATTCAACTTTCAATCTACTCTTTCTGATCGTGTCCATGCGTAGTGGCGTGACAGGCTCACTTTAATTACTCACAATACAATATTGAAATCTCATGAGGTTTGGTGTGTGTCTTCTGTAGATCTAAATACGTGTGTTGCTTTGTAGCTCTAGAATTGAAAGGGTAAACTCCAAGTTATATTAAAGTAAATTTATTTTCATGATACGAGTGTATGACAAGACGAGAGCATGCGCACAAAGAACGTCTTTGGTAAAAACTTCTCTGTTGATTAAAAAAAACTTCGTCTATGACCATCTTTCAAAAGCAGCTCACACACTGTCCGAGTTATCTTGCTATTGACAGCTTGATTTTCATACAGTTACTTTCTAAATAATTAATGAAGTTTGGCAATTTATATGGGGCTATGACAGACTATCAACGCCCATAATTCTACTTGAATTTCATTTCAAGCAACATCATTTTAAGTGCAATAGCTGGCTTTCGATAAAGAAGTGTTCTTTGGCATCTGTACACCTCACAAGAAAAAGCAACGACCTGAATATTTAAATCATTATTCAGAGCCTATCTATATAATAACCGTTATTGCAAGTCCAAAAGTTGGTTATGGAAGGAAAAGGAGTGTTCCGTCGTCTTGCCATTTGTCAACTTCAGGTAATCATATAAGGAGGATTCACTTTTAAGTATTAAAATGCAGTCTTAAAGCTGGTAGACCATAAGTATGTAGAAGCTTAATAACAAATAAGAGAATTGTGGCAAACTATTTTTGTGCTAGATGATTATCATTTACATTTTCAATATACGTGAGTAGTAATGATTGTCTTTTCGATTCTGCAAGAAGCTTTAAAACGGTTACAAATTCATCGAAACTTTTTTTAAACTGAACTATTAAACAATAATACTGTTTTTACGATGTAAGTACATTTTTCTCCCGTCGATTCAAAATACTCAAAGACTTGAGTGCTGAATGATCTAAAACCATACTTTTCCATAAAAAGTTGATATTATAAGGAAAACAATATCGGCCCCAGTAAAAAATCTATAAAAGCTAAATAAATACCCTTCGTTTTTGTAGTTGATGGTGGTATTGTTATTCAACAGTGCAAGATGCGATGGTAAGCTTCAATCTTATTGTATGTATTATGTAAATCAATATTTGAGTAATGGTTTATAGCTAAGCATACCCCTTGCGATGCAAAAGACAAATATAGGATATTTATCTATGGCAAGTCTGTAAATCGAATAGTCACAGATCTACAAAAGAATGATGTAATACGAATTCACTTTTAATCTAAAACTCAGAACTCTCGTAGATATTAAAAGAAAAAAAAATGAGCAGATGTTTTTCTTCTGTATAAAAAAGACAACTGTCTGCAATAATATAAACATTGATATTACACAATCTCCTTAATGACTATTTAGCTAATGATAAACTTTAGAATTGACACTAGGGAGTGTCTAAACGTCAGGCCAACTGCGTTTAGACAATAAAAATAAAACGTCAAGCAATCGATTTTTTTACATCGCCAGAACAAGCGTACCTTTAAGTAATAGAACAAGAGAACTGGGAAAAAAAGACCGAAATCTTACTTTTCGACAACTTTTATACCCAAGCACATTGTTACAGAGCAAGAAATTTACCAAGAAAYCTGAAACAGGGTCGGAATGGAGTTAACCGAATAGCGACAAATGGACAAAATAAAAACTTGAACAAAAAAAATTGAACAAAATTTGCTGACTACCAACAAGAACATTTACTTACTGGCGACATTTTACTCAAAATAAATATTTTTAGGCAATATTTTTGTGTTTTTCGAAAAACTACAATCGAAGTCTTACGCGGGAAAATAAATTTTGATTCGGCTTGGCTCCTTGAAGTTTTGATTAGCTACTGTAAAACTTTGAGTGGCATCAAAAAGACCTAATCGGCTTCAACCCAATTCAAAACTGCCCGGGAGTAAGTTTCATTGTTTGTTGTATTTTCATTTCACAGTTGAATTACTAGCCACAAAAGTTCTTTTTCAAGCAGGATTTGAATTGGGTGGCAACGTACATAGCAACATAAAACACACACACAAATGTTTTGGAGGAAGATATAGATAAATATAAATATTAGATATAATTTTAATACAGTATAAAAGAATAATTAAATTGGAGAAAACTTAGAATTCTGGCAAACAGCTAATAATCATTCAAAGTTTTACTTTTCATCTTGGATTTAAATTGCTGAAAACTAGAATTTTTAATGCAATCTGGTAGTGCATTCCATATTTTAGGTCCTTGGAATTTAATATTAAATTTGCCATAATTCGTTCGTGCCTTTGGCAAATAAAAGTTTTCTTTAGATGCAGATCTTGTGTTGTATCTATGAGCTTCATTAACAGGCACGAAAAACTTTTCAAAGGTAGAGGGCAAAGTGTTATGTTTATATTTAAACATGAATATTGAGATGTGATAATCTACAAGATCATGAAATTTAATTATATTTAGGCTTTTAGATAGCGGACTAGAATGTGCATCAAATGGTGAAAAAGAAATTAAACGTAAAGCCTTTTTCTGCAGAATATAAATTGGTTGCAAAGTTGTTGGATAAGTAATACCCCAAACAAGGATCCCATAAATTAAAAATTGATAAATGAGAGCATAATACAGCTTAATAAGGACAGTTATGTCAACATAATGTCGTAATTTTGATAGAATGCCTACATTCTTTTTAATCTTTTTTGCAATATTTCCATGATAAACAAGAATCAATATAAATTCCAAGGTATTTTATAGTTTTTTCTTGTTTCAGATTTTTGTTATCTAAAAGAAGCTGAAAATCATTTGCAATTTTTCTTTGACGTGGGTGGAATAAGACAAAATTAGATTTCTCAATATTCAGTGACAATTTATTTGCAGATAGCCAGGTATGAATATTAATTAGCTCA